CAACATTCGCAAACTGCTCAGGCCTGGAGGCTTCCTGGTTGTTGGTGAGGGAAGCCATACGAGCGAGCCTGGATGTTTCATCTTTGGCACACTTCCGGGCTGGTGGCTGGGTTACGACGAAGGACGCACATTGTCTCCCCATGTGTCACCTGATGAGTGGCACAGAGTTTTAAAGGCGACTGGCTTCTCAGGGATTGACACAATCGCTCCTCAAGATTTCCAAGACATCCTTGGAGTATCTCTGTTCGTCTCTCAAGCTGTCGACGACAAGATCAATCTGCTACGGGAGCCCCTCGCTGAGCCCCCACAGGCAGTGTCGCAACCGATCGAGAAATTGATCTTGGTCGGTGGATATTCAGATCGCAGTGAGAACCTATTCAACGAGACGAAGGCTCTCCTGGAAACCTATGCCACGCAAAGCTACAACTTCAAATGCCTCGAAGATGTTGACTACAGCATTGTGGATGAGACGTCGATAGTGCTGAGCATGGTGGAACTCGATAAGCCCGTCTTCGAAGACATGTCACCGGTGACTTTCATGGCGTTTAGGAAGATGTTCGAAGCTGAGAAGACGATACTCTGGGTCACAAGCGGCCGAACATCCGAGGTGCCTTGGAGCAATATCACTGTTGGATTCGGTCGAACGGCAGTCAACGAGACACCGAACCTGCATCTCCAGCACCTGGACATTCCTGACCTGAACAAAGCTGATCCAAAAAGTATTTCTGAGATCCTGCTTCGACTTCATCGCCAGGTGGAGCAGACCGACAAGATCTTGTGGGCAGTCGAGCCGGAGATCCTGCTTGATGCCGATGGAAGGCAATATGTGCCCCGGCTGAAGCCTCTGCCAACGCCGAATGCGAGATACAATTCGGCAAGAAGGCCGATCACCCAGAAGGTTGATATCACAGAATCCCCCGTCGTTATCCGACGAAATCCTCATGGAATTACAGCCGAGAGACTCTCCAAAATGGACACCGAAGAGGGTCAAGAGGGTTCCATGATGATATTGCGGATAACTCATGCCGCTCTTTCTGCAGTACAGACACCACTGGGCCACCAGTTCCTGGTGATTGGAACAGATTCTCAGACCGCAAGCAACTATCTGGCCTTTTTGCCATCTCTCGCGTCTATTGCAACTGTTTCTCGGGCAAGAGCAGTCCACCTTCAAATTCAAGAACTCTCCGAAACAGCTTTGTTGACTCTGGCGGCCGCTCAAATCACCGGCATGGCTATCATCGATCCCTTGTTCAGCGGTCAGACGGTGGTTTTGCACAATCCTACCGAGATCATCGCAGAAGCCGTGACTGCACAAGCCTCTGCAAGGAGTGTCCGGGCAGTGTGCGTGACAGACTCAACAAACGCGGCATCCACTCCGAAGTCCTGGGTCCGCCTGGCACCGTTTGCGAGCAAGGCAGAAGTGTTTCGCGATTTGCCGCCTCGGATCTCGTCTTTTGTGAGCCTTTCCAGCACCGCGTCAGAGACTGAAAATGTTATCTCGTCTGGATTATCCGCACATTGTCACAAGGCGACAGCCACGACGCTTTTCTCTTCCGACGGGTGTGACATCGACGTTAGTTGCGAGAGTGTTCTTGGTAGAACTCTTCAGCGAGCTTTGGAGCATGTCCAAAAAGGAATACAGCCGTCTTTGGCCGCCGCCCCGGTACTCAGTATCGAGCAGCTAGACGATGGCCCGCTTCCAATTCCTAAGGATCCCATCACCATCCTTGACCTGACATCGTCTGCCGCGGTCAATGCCCATTTCTCAAGGCTAGACAATAGGCCGATGTTCAAGGGCAATAAGACCTACTGGCTGGCTGGATTGTCGGGCGCTTTGGGTGTCTCGCTTTGCGACTGGATGATTGACCGTGGAGCTCGCATTCTGGTCCTCAGCAGCCGGAATCCCAGAATCGATCCTGCTTGGATCGAGTCTCACAAGCGAGACGGTGTAAAAGTCACCATCATTCCCTGGTATGCATGAACAGATTCTTTGCCGCTTGGACTTGTTAGAGCTGACCCTCTGGATAGCGATGTAACCGACGCACCGGCCTTAAGAGCTGTGCATGAGACCATAAAGTCGACACTTCCACCTATTGTGGGCATCCTGAACGGAGCTATGGTGTTGAGGGATACGTCTGTACGCAACATGAATTATGACCAGCTCATGGATGTTGTTCGGCCCAAGGTACTTGGGAGCATCCATATGGACGAATTATTCAAGAACGATGATCTGGATTTCTTCATCCTCTTCTCGTCAATCAACTGCATCATCGGAAACACGGGACAGGCTAATTATGCTGGGGCCAATACGTTCATGTGCAGTCTGGCTGGCCAAAGAAGGAAGCGTGGACTTGCTGCAACAGCTCTCAATGTTGGCGCTATCATTGGTGCAGGTGAGTCAACTCTGTTCCGTACCATGGCCCCCGAAGGTCTTGGACTCGACCCTTTACTGCTGCTTCTTCCTTTTTCCCAGACAACACTGACATTGGCTTGCCCAGGTTACATTGAAAGGGAGGCTAGCAAAGCCCTTGACCTTACTGTGTCGAAAGGATCCCTGATGCACCTCTCCGAGGAGGATTTCCACCAGCTCTTTGCTGAAGCCATTGAGGCTGGTCGTCCCGGCAACCCTGATGGCCCGGAAGTGAGCACTGGTGTTCTGAATGTGCCAGCAGACTCACCAGACCCGCCGAGGTGGATAGCTGACCCAAAGTTCTCTCATTTCATCATCCATCGCAAGACGGGGCATGGCGCCGAGAAAGAGAAAGTCGATACAGTGTCCATTCAGGAACTTGTGAGAGACTGCCAGACAAGGCAGGACCTTCAAAAGATCATCGAAAGTAGGTGAAACGGCCCTGGCAATTCGCTAATCGCGACACTAATAAACCGTGTGTAGAGTCATTCGCCGCCCAGCTCCGTAATGAGCTGCAGGTGAGCACAGAGGATGGGGAGCTGATGAGCATGCGTTCGGTCGAATTGGGACTCGACTCGCTGATCTCAGTGGACATCCGCACTTGGTTCTTGAAGAACTTCCAGGTCAGCATACCGGTGCTCAAGATCCTGAGCAACGACACCATGTCGAACCTGGCTCTCATTGCCCTCGAGAATGTGCCGCCAGAGTTGGTGCCCAATTTGCAAGGAACGGAGGAGTCGACTTCCTCGGGAACATCCTCAAAGTCTACCACTTCCGAAGACCATGTTTCCTCGAGCCCAACCTCTGAGTCCTGGACTCCGGTTGAGAAGGACAGGATCGACTGGAACGCTGAGTCTGATGTCACGGACGATCTGGACGACATAGCGGGGCTGGAAAGAGCAGAACCGGTGGTCACTACGCCGCCCAAAGTCATTGTGCTAACCGGAGTGAGTGGTTTGCTTGGCCACCATCTTCTTAACTACCTCCTGCACAACACCGCGGCCGAAAAGATCATCTGCCTAGCGGTGCGTCAGCTTGAGCAGAGGCTCAAGTCCCAACACCTCCCCCAGCACAATCGCGTGGTCTACTACGAAGGCGATCTCAGCCAGCCACGGCTTGGGCTCTCGGAGTTCGACGCCCGCGCTGTCTTCGCCGAGGCGGACGCCATCATCCACAACGGCGCCGACACGTCGCATCTGAAGTTCTACCCAGCCGTGCAGGCCACGAATGTGGGGTCCACGCGGGAGCTGGTCAAGATGGCCCTGTCGCGACGCATCCCCATCCACTATGTGTCATCCGTAGGCGCCGCTCTGTTCCAGATCGTCGACGTCGTCCGCCCCGTCTCAGCCGCGGGGGCGTCCCCGCCGGTTGATGGCTCGCACGGTTATATGGCGTCAAAATGGACGTGTGAGCGCCTCCTCGAGCGGGTAAATGCCAAGTATGGGCTGGGCGTGTGGATTCACCGGCCGTCGACCATATTGCGCGAGGGCGAGGATGCGAGAGGCGAGAAGGCGCAAATGGACTGGGTCAATGCACTCCTGGCCTACGTGCGGAAATTGAAGGCGGCGCCAAGGGTGAAGCACATCCGCGGGGCGCTCGATCTGGTGCATGTGCAGAGCGTGTGTGCGGAGCTGGCGCGCCATGTGTTTGGGGAGGCGAGGCCCAAGGGCACTGTAGCGTATGTTCACGAGGTGGGCGACGTGGTGCTTCCGCTGGACCGCCTGAACGAGGTTGGGGATAGCCCGAGCTCAGGCACGTCGGCTGAGACGATCCCCATGGAGGACTGGATTGAGAAGGCTGTCGCTGCTGGGTTACATCCTGGCGTTGCTGCATTGATTGAGGCGATGGACACCCGAGGAACGCCTGACTATCCTAGCCTGGAGAGGGGATGTACGTGAGGTTCACTGTTCTCATGTCAAGATGTTTCTCTCTTTCCTCTCTCCTTTTTCTTTTTTTTTTTGGTCCTGTCTTTTTCTTCTTCTCCACCCTCGTTTGGAGAAGAAGAGGATGCGGGATGGCGATCCTCCCACACACCATGATGCCTCCCTAGAAGTTGGACCACCTATTCATATAGCTAGATAGTCATGTTATCCAACTCTTCAGATTGCGTGCAAACAAATTGCCGAGCAGTGTTATGATGCCGTTCGTCTGTTCTGTTTGCTTTAACTGTAACGGTCCCAAAGATAGTACGTTACAAATAATGCCAGACGACTGAACAAATATGTTGAGCTTGAAATAAAGAAGGACAGGCGGCCATTTGGCTATTAGCCATTCCTCATTCATACAACGAGCGCCAGTCTAAGCCAACAGTGCTTGCTATATGGAAGCTTTTGCTTTAATGCCAACTTTGCCATATGATTTATACACAAGACTTGATTAAGAATTTGGATTCTCGTTTTTCCAAAGTGATGTAGGCACGATGGATCGGTTTCGCGTTATGCCAAAAAGGTGGTGCCAGGGTACGCGACCTGATGATATTGACAACGTACCGAGTCGAGATAACCAGACACAAAATAGAGCAAACCGGCATAACAAAGCGTATAAAAATAAAAGAACATCGAAGGAAAGGCCAATAAAGAGACAAAAACAGTGCGTAAACCCGGAATCGAACCGGGGGCCCATCGAGTCGAACTCAGATTGAATCTGATTGGCAACGATGGATTTTACCACTAAACCATTTACGCTGTTTGGTTGCTGTTGGATTCTGCACTGCAAAGACATACTATAATGACTAAAATTCAATAGGACGCAAACCCACCTTGACATGAGTGACAACAAATCCTCAACGAGTATCGCCAGCTTAGGGCGAAAGTCCAGTTTATCAGTATTGCATAGAAGAGAAGATGGACTCGATTTGAATACAGGTCGGAGGGAGCTACGTATAAACACCGGGAACAACTCCGTCATTCTTACCAATTATTACCTACACGAGCGAATTCTCAAGGGACTTCGAGTATAGCTATTGCCGCCCCTGGAACAGAAGAGTCAAAAAAAAAAAAAAAAAAAAAAAAAAGGGAAGAAAGATATCAGGTCCACGCAATGGCCACAGCCTCTGGCAGTATCCCCAGAGCTCCTGATTGGAGTGAATGAGTAAAGCAAGAAATCCGTACCGTTGTCATGCACGGGTTGGGGAAGCATACATACCTGTTGTCTGTCATCTTCGTCCAGCACATGGTCAACATCAGGATTGCCAGGAGGCGAAATCTTATACATAAGGGTTTGTCTATGTCCTGCGGCAATACTTGGAGCATTTCCGTTTACTTGTTGAGCCGCGTCATGGTCGAACCTGTAAAGTTGGCTCGTTTCCACCCGCTCGGTGTCCTTTCACTCAAATCCCATGACTGAAGTAACTCTCCGGGGCCAAAGGGGAGCAATATGCCTCCTGTGATCGCCTCGTTTTCCCATAGTGTACATGAAAGATCCTCTTCATCTCGTAGTTGCACCCTGGTGCGTGGAGGATCGAGTGCACCCTTATATTCCCGCGCCACCATGATGGTTGTGGGAAGGCGCACCCCGGTCTGACCTCTGCTCCAGGCAAAGTCCTCGACCGCAGCCTCCAGTGCCTCGGGCGAAGAAATGATGTCTACATTGAGTTCTGAATCGAAGGTCGGTAGCCTCGCCAGCCACGCGTCCTGGCGGAAGCCCCCTATGTTGACAAGAGGAACGGGCCTGCTGGCATCGGACTTGATATCTCGGCGGATCCAGGCGGCCCATGAATTCTTGTTTTGGGTGGACGCTGCCTGACAGTCAATGACCCAGAGCCGCTGAAGCGCCGAGTTCAGCTGGGCGAAGTTCTGAAGTTTTGGTATGAGCAAAGGCAGGACTGATGTGATTCTGTTCTGCGATCCAATGTGAGGAACATGTAGGGGGTCGCATGGGGCCGCCAACGAGGCCCGTGGAGAAGTGCCAGGTGTGCGTTGAGTGAGATTGATGATGCAGTCTCTGAGGTTTGGTGCTTTCACTGGCTGGTAGCCCTCTTTTTCATGCTCGCCGAATACGGCCGAGCAGACTTTGGGCAAACGCAGCCGAAGATGATGAGTCCTGCCTAGCACAGTCCGGATTGAGTCGCACAGGTGAGATGTTGCCGTGACAGTTGTGGTGCCAATTTTCTGCTGGACGAAGGTGCTGTGGCGCACATCGACTTCCAAGGCCACGCAGGTGGTCGGCAGTGCTTTGACGATGGAGGAAAGCTCTCCATAAGGAGAGTATGGCATAGGCAAGTCAGCTAAGATTGAAATGCACTCGAGATTTCCCATTCGACCAATACGTGGCAAGAGCCTCTGCAGGGCGTTGAGCCAACCCTCAGTTGTCTCGATGGCCTCCTTCGGGTCGTATTGGTTGACGAGCACTGGCCCAAAGTGAAGTGTGAGCGATTGAACTTCGTGATCAGAGGAGAAGCCGTCTGTAAATTTAGCGAGCCGCTCGCCACTTAGAAAGATGTCGCGGTACAACACCGCCTGTGCCAAAGGGCGCCATCTCTTGCAGCAAAGGATCGAAGAAGTAACATTCGCGTCAGTATCCTGAGCAAGGATGCTGAAAATTCTCAGCAGAAGTTCTGGTAGAAGTTTTGAAATCAGAGGCGTGTCCATTGCCAGGAACACCAGTGATTCGAAGAAGAAGAAGATTGGGGACTTGCGGCTGTAGTTGGAGCCGGGGTATTTCTTGAACGGAACCAAGCTTTGTGCTACTTGAGCTATGTCTTTGTAAGCCAATTCACTGCATAGGCAACAATAGGTTATAGATGGCCTCAAGTCATGGAGCTTGCACCTTTGTGATTCTTTCAAGATGAATGTAATCCTCAACATTTGCGCAGTTTCGATGCAGCCTCGCTGGTTTGAGTATGCCCTAGGGTTTACTAACTCGACATACTTTTCAGCGGTCGTAATATTTGTCGCTTGAAGTTGTCAATTAGTCAAACGTAGACCGTGTTGAATCTTTTGCAGTTGCATGTACGACACAGTTTCTTTCATGCGTCCAAAAGTCACCGCCGCATCGCTCACCGTTGGGACCGACCGCGCTATTTGAGGCACAGCTCTGAGATGTTGGGGGTATTGGGAGACCTTATTAGCATATGTTCCTGTCCTTTCCTCTGTAACAGACTCTAGCTGACAGTGAATGAGTTGCAACATGTACCCTGATGTGCCGTCTGATCATCCTCACAGTTTAGATGGCGCTGGATGGTTCTTCTTCACTTTTGTCTTTGTTGGAATCGCGGCGTGCATGAGATCATATAGTAAGGATTCCACACTCTGTTGACAGGTGTGACGGTTGGCCTTCAATATGCCAATGGACTGTTTGGTTGCCAGCGAATTCTCTCAAATGAATGACCGAATCAATTTCAAAGCTATTAGTCCGTACCTAGGTGAGACTGTCGCTGGTCGACTTAGCTCTCACTTGCTGAAGTAATTATCTCGAGACGAACCTGATCGTAGACTTACGTATGCAGCTGTTGATTCCATCAAAGACATCCTGTGCCAAGTTCGAGTCTGAACGCCATTGAGAGTGTCCAAGAGGTTTATGGAAGAATTTTTAGCTACAGGCAAACCATAAGGCAGTTCAGGCATATGATCTTATGCATCACTACCTACTGGTTGGCCGTCCGAAAGGGTTATCAATCAATTATGCACCTAGTCCTCGAGAAGTAATATCTAAGCTAACTCACTTGATCCTCTGGGACCATGGAGGCATGAACCGCAACGCCAACGCCATGCACAAAAAACAAGAAGGTCCAAAGACGAATACATGTCGACGCACCGCCAACATTACAAACCTCGCTGATCAGACCGTGGCTACCCAGGCTTGACTATCTAAAGTCATCTAGAGCCCGTACTCATCCCAAGCCTCGTAAATCCGATCCCGAATGCCCTCACATCCTAGTGAGCGCGGGTGAAATGTCTTCCCATAATACGTGGGTACCCACCACATGCCATTCATCGGCACCACGCCTCTATACGCAGGACGTAGCGACGGGTCCCGGCTCTTCGCCATCGCCATGTAGCACAGAGCCAGCTGGCCCCAATCGCCTGTTTTCTGGGCGTGGGCAAGACACCTATCCGGGTCGACCAGCTCTGAGCCAGGAGCAAGTATAGTCTGCGCTTGCCTGTGATTTTGGTACCGACTCTCTTCCGGGTCGCCGTTTGTCCCGTTCGGCCACATTGTCTTGTTCCTCGCATTGTCTGGCCCGCCTACCAAGAAGAACCAACTCTCCACCCGGTCATAGGCCGGTTCCATAACGCCCGGCTCGCAGAAGCGGTGGCCCTCAAATAACGTGTCATAGTTTACAAACAACACCTTCGGCCTATCACCGCTAAACCGAGCATTGACAATGTCGACCGTGCGTTGCAGTTTGGCATTCGTAGCTACCACCAGCTCGTTCATCCGCGTTCTGATGTACTGCGAAAGTTTCGGTCCACCATACCATACACCCAATGACATGTCATCACACTCAGGGGTGATATCGTTGAAAAAACGCGCGTAGCCAGTCACCGTAATGGTGAAGCGCGGACGCTTCTCCCACACTACTTTGTCGAGAATCTCTTGCAAAATGATTTCAAGCCGCTGCTCAAACAAATCGCTTGCGATAGCCGCATCGCTAGCTGCCAGCGCGGCTTCGCAAGTGCCGCTGTAGAAGGAGTAGAAACGAAAGATGCATGCGTTCATCACATCGAAGAAGCCCAGATCATTTCCGCCGACAGACAACGTTGCAAAGTCTAGGGGTAGCGATATGTTGAGCAAGTCGACTTGAGACAATGGAGTCCCGGAGAGGATGTCCTTGGTTCGGGCGCCAGTGCAGGATAGCCACTGCATGGAGGTATTGCTTTTGGTGACATTGTTCAGATCTAGGTGCAATAAAAGGGGATAGCCATGCTGGCCGCGGCGACAGTCGCCTTCACTGGCAAGGTAGTCGCCGTCGAGACCGGTTCCGATGCCGGCGGAGTAGGAATCACCAAGAGATACAAAGCCCCTGGCGTGTCGAAAGGACTCGGAGACAAGAGACGCGGTATCCGCAGCGAGGACGTGTTGATCTGATTGGACTGCGCTGGGGGGCCAACTGTGAAGAAAGGGCACTGCCGCTCGGCAGGTTGCTATGTAGAATACGATACTCAAGAAGACGATGCGCATCTTGAATACATTACAGCCTTACTGATGACGAGGACGCTTGTGTAAGCCAGTGCCTCTCAGATAGAAGAAGATACTATATAATCAGACTTTGAGAGCGGACTCAACGCCCAACTCGAGCTGCAGATAGATGGCAGGGCGATGGGAGCATTGGTATCACAGTGAGAATACTCGAGAATGTCGTGATCTCCGTGCCTAGATCGATGGCGCGTGAGCACTCAGGATGACCGTCAGACGGCTGAGCTTGAGCCAATCGGCCGAGCACATGGCTTGGAAGAGCGGCTGGCTTGGTGCGCACCCGTTTTCGTACTAGCTCATCCAGTCTGGAGGTACTATATAGTATGGAGTTTCGAGAATCAGCGCCAGCCAAAAAATAACACCTACGAGTTATAATTAATACAGCTGATTACAGGCATCTATTGTTGTAATGACGGCTCAATAGCAGTAGTAGAGGCTTGAGAACAAAACGTCGTCAAGGCTTGGCCGGGCATGGAGCACCAGTACCCGAGTTTCGCGGGTCAGATCTGAATTCTAAATTTCAAGTCTAGGGTAAGTTTGTGGACCC